CTGGAACAATTGCTATGTTTCTATATGTAAGTATATGCCCAAGACCACTCTATATGTTTCTATATGTAAGTATATGCCCAAGACAGAATGACTGCTGTTATGAATTTGCTTTAAGGGAGTGCTTTAAATAAGGGAGGCTATCATAAGGTTATCACTGAGACAGGATGTCCATACTGTTGCCATTGTGCATGGTGGAAGTCCCTCTCCAATGCTCCCTCTAAGCTGTAGAGTCCTGTGAGCAAAAATTCTACTTTGTGAGCTACTGGCCTTAAAGTTTTGAGTGAGCGATTTGGCTACTACATAAATTAGTCTGCTCTAAAGCCATCCTTCCTAAATGAAGACAAAAATGTGTAAATCGGAGGCTAAAAAACTGTACCCTCTCACCCCCATCTATGGAAGCAGACAGAGCATTGAACACACCATAAAGCCAAGAGGCATGGACCCTGCTTTAGGAGCAGCCATCACATCTTCAATGATAAGAAGAGAGGAGAAGCAGCCTCTTTAATGTGGCACCAAAAGGAGCCCAACTGCTTCCAAAGAGATTGCGACATAAGTGGTTTTACTGCATCAAGGCTTTGGAATCCCATGGCCATTATGAAAAAGAGTCCTTTCTTGGCCCCGGCCAGACGTGCCGGAAAACGCGGGGGGGAAGTGCGGCTCTTTGCGCCATCGCATTCTGATGCGCTATTATGCAATCAGACGCGATGGCGGCTTCCCCGCAGCAAAGAGGACGGGGGAGGAAGCCACGCGCCGGCGCAACCATACTGGGAGGCTTCCATAGGTGGCCCGTGGCAAGTGCTAGTTTTTTACTGCGCGGCTTCAGCGGCTTGCCACAGGTTCGCCACGGGAATGCTATGCCTCCCAGATGTTCCCATGTGATCGCGCCCGGATACTCTGCGGGACTCCCGTGCCTTCAGCGGGGCAAATGCTCCGTGTGACCGGGGCCCTTGTATCCTTATTCCCCCCCCCTTTAAACTGAGTTGATATGTTTGGGGGAGGGGAAGATGAAAGGGGGGGCATAAACAATGTTACTGTTCATTACTGTCTATTTACCAGTTTAGTATCCTGCCACCAAGGAGCTTAGCCTTGGGGAAACATACATGAAGCTTATCTTAGCTGCACAGAATTATTTTTGGCAGGTCAGTTTCAGTTTCAGTTTATTCGGTATATCACCAGCCCAATTACAAACAATACAAAAGGGTACCAATAATATAAGTTGAGAAACAGAGGCTTGCCCTAGGCCATGGGGGAATTCCCCCATGACTGGGTAGATATTTTATTTTGTTTTTCTTGCCCTTAAACTAAACACTTGCAATGCACTATGCATCAAAGGCTGCAGTTCCAAGAACAGTTTCCTGAGAGTGAGCCCCTTTGGATAAAATGGGACTTACTATTGAGTAGACCTGCTTCACATTGCTAACAGTGCACTTTTAAGAAGTTATACCCTTCTATGCCCACTGAATGTAATGGGCATAGAAGGGTATAACTTTGATCAGAGCTCCCTGACCTTAATGGACATAAAAGGTATAACTCTGTTTAGAATTGTACTGTAACCTGCTAGCCGGAGGATGGTTGAGAATACGGAACTCCATAAATTTGGACAGGAATATTGTTTCTTTCATTTGCATTAACCTCCCCCATCTGTCTGTCTGTCTCGCTATTATTGGAAGCAGTTTTGAAACTAGTCTACTTTCAAACAGTCCCAAATAAATATATACACAAACCACATAGGAAAGAGCCTATATCCAGTGTTAACTGTATACTTTGAACCAGCAACCCACAGTATAAACACACTGAATTTGTTTTTCCCATTTCCAAAGCAGCAGTCTCTTGGAAGAAAGCATTAATGACACCAGTTATTTCACTGAGTTCTTTCAATAGTTTAATTTTCGTTAGAAAGGAACTGCAGTAACAATCCTGCATCAAAGTTTAATCACAAAGCTTTCCTGAATTGTGGCCATACTTGGCAATTTGGCAAAAAAATGATGAGACTGCAGAAAGGACAAGGCTTGGAGGCTGGTATCAGAATATATTAGTTACACAGTAAACAAAACTGTTAAAATCAAATTTTGTTAGTAATTAATGAGGACATATTTTGGCGTACAGCATCTTACTCTGTCCTTCATCCATAGAAGGTACTTTCTCAGCAATTTGTTAAGGGGAACATAGAGACTAAGAAGCTGTAGATACAAAATGCCTTTTGTAGAAATATTTGAATGGGTGACCTCCAGAGAATACCAGGGCCAGGAAGCCAGAGGCAGGCTATCAAGCCACTTCTCTGAATGTCCTCTTTGCCCCAGTAGGAGCCGCCAGAGGTCACCATGACTTCTAGGCACAGGCACAGGCGCGCGTGCACACACACACACACACAGTCCAAATGCAAAAAAGCCTTTTGTAAACTCAAGATTGCATTATAAGAAAATGTTGTGGCTTTGGTTAGGTTTAATTGCTGTTTTGGAATGTAGAGGAGGTGGTAGAATACACCACACTTAAGATACTCAACTGTCAAAAAGCAGGATATTAAACCTCAAAATAACTTTGTAGAGTTGAAATAATGATTACTCACTGATAGCAGATATATTTGATAAGGCGGATGATGATCTAAAGCAGTAATTCCCAAGCCTGGTTTTGTGATATCAGAAAATGTTTTATTATTGTTTCATGCTAAATATAATTTCAAATATATTTATTCTGTTTAAGAGGAAGGATTTGTGTGTGTGTGTCATACTATCAGACAAAGAACAGCAGTATGTTGCAACACCAAATAGTTTGGGAATTACTGATCTAAATGACTGAGGAGCACTGGTCCCCTTTTACAAGCATGGGAACTGATTTCCCCCATGACTACTTTCTCTGCCTTCTCCTAGCAGGCCGACAGTTAAGTACAAAAGACCCAGAGGAGATAAGACTCTGAGGATGCATTTGGGAATACAGTCACATATATTTCTGCCAGTGTGAGACTACAACTTGGGGAAATGATTACTAAGCTGTCATGGGGTTATGTGTGTGTGATGGGTGCCTGTATAGAATGCTTTTGGTTTTTAGATCCTTATGAACACAGCTTATCATTGCTTGCCTGAGTTCTTATTTTAATGATATTCATAGCCACGTAACCAAAAACACCTCAGGTGAAAAAGTATTTTGTTCTTAAGAGGAATAACAAGTAGAAAAGAGAACCAACCAAATACGTCTTGAACTCAATAGTAGAAACACTAGGAATGGAAGAACCAAATGTTGCTTTGAAGCCAGTGGTGAAAGTTGCACTGGCAGCACCTTTTCTGAGTGTCCTTTCAGAGTAACAAGGACTATTTGCAAGTTGCACAGGGAGAAGCAAGGTTGCTGCTGCTGGCACTGTCCCCACCCCTACCTAATTTGGTATAGATTATGAACTGATGCACATCTGTAGGCTTTGTACATCTGATCTGGATCTTGGGGCTTTCAGGTTCTTATCTGCAAAGGACTGGGGTCAGATCAGTGGGTGCAATCCTGCTCTGACCATACATGCATTTGCTATCCCAGATTGTACCTTTTGAGAAGTCCTATCATCTGTTATGTTGAAGCAAAAGTTAGAAAGCATTATTATAGGTAAAGGGGAAAATAAGAAATGAAAAAAGTACCTTGTTTACAACCACTAAATGAGGATCGACAAAAAAATGTAGCAAATATTTCTTGGTGTAATGCATACACCTGTCTATCAACAACCTGATCCATGTTCTAGTGGAGGTCTAAATACTGAGACATAAACTGACCTAAAATTTTCAACTGCTATGAGCTAGGTAACAAAATTCCAAACATTTGCCATAGGTTATCCACTGCAACATGAGACCTAGCTGCATGAGCAGCACTGGATAGGCAAAGCATTGATGTGCTCTTCTAAGCATATGAAACAACTCTTCAAGACCAGACCACAAATCTGATTAGGAATCTTTTCCTGTCTGTCTGTCTCTATCTCTCTTAAACCTATCTATTTGCCTTAACAACCACAAATATTAATATGATCAGAAAACCACAGAACAGTCAGACTGCAGATGACAGGATTCACACACTAAACCCAGATACAAGGAAAACACTTTTTTTCTTGTTTCACAAACCGTTTAGGCCATTGTGAAAAACACTTTTTTTCCCCTTGTTTCACAAACCGTTTAGGCCATTGTACACCTGTATTTTACATATGATGCTCATTGCAAATATCTAGCTATGGCACACAATAGTGATAACCTCTCAGACAGGATTGGATCTCAGGCAGATTTACAGTCTAGTACCAAGGAACTTGGATTTAGAGTCATTTATACTGCAACCCAAAACCAGTACATGAACATAAGGCCCAGTGATTTCCATAGAACTTTTGGTGCACTGGTTTTAGTTTAGAATGTTAGTCCCACTGACTAACCTCTTCTACTCAGTTTACTGGATAGGGTTTATTACACCTGGCGGTCATGTCCCATTTAACAGAAAATGCCCTATTTTGCAGAAGTTCAGTATACACCACTTAAAATGAAAACAACATACACTCCAAACACAGACTGTGCAATATATATGCACAGGACACACAAATTATCACCATTGTCATAACCAGTACCATCCTGTTTAGCCTTTATAGCATCTATAGCATTACCTTGTTCAAATGCCCCAGAAAAATACTCTTATTTTATACTTGCCTATTGAATACCAGCATGCTAAAAATACTGTAGCACAATTCCATTACAACTACCACCATATATTAGAATTTGTGCTTTTGATGTATCCTGTCCTCGAATTTTTAAACTTTGAATTTTGCACCACTCTGGTATAGAAAAACACTAATTATCCAGAGGGAGAAATACCACAAAGGTTGGGGTGGGGGAATTATTAAGCAATATGTTGAATCACTCCTTTGGTTTTTTAATATTCCATCTGAAAAAAACCCTATCAGATTCTGCAAAGTAATCCCCCCAACCCAGTATATTCAGCTACACAAAAAAACACATTGCTATTAAAATATAAAGGCAGTTCAGTCATACCTTATTATGTGTCTGTGTTTGTCCAACCAATATAAGGATATTTGATGAGATAATAGATAGGCAGAAATTAATTAGAATTATTGACCTCTCAGATCTGATGTACCTGTCCAAGTAAGCACACAACAAAACGTTTTCTAAATGCTTTGCATACCAATATTGTACATTCTTATTACAAGTAGGTGTTCATTAACATTGCCAGTTCTTTAAGTTTCTGATGACACCTTACAAGAGATAAAAACTCTTTTTCGTTAAAGTGAAAGGTTGGTACTTTTTGAAATGTGTACTCCACAGTACAATAATGAAGAGCATTGCATAAGAAAAAAAGATAGAATTGAAAAAGTACTCCATTACGGAGAGGCATTAGTGGGTCAGTTTGGAGCCCTTCACACTTGCAGCCCAACATGTTGAAGTCTGAAGCCTGCATCATTTCGTTCAATATAGGTGCTTATGAGTGGCTGCAATCTGCTGGGAACTGATTTGGTACAACCCCTCTTGACTCAACTGGACTTCCTTGCTAAGCTCCCATTCATCTGCTTCCACAAGAGGAGCTTCAAGGATGATGCCTACCAGATCATTGGGGGTATTGGAGCATATAGACAAAAGAGTGAAAACCAGTATTGCTAGGTTTATATGTCAGCAGAGTCTCCAAACTTAACAAACACTGATTAGGTGAAGTTCAGTGTACCAATTAATCATAACTGTAGGCTGTGTTTACTAACGAATCTGTGTACTGAAGAAACAATAGAATCGGTTTCATTGCCAAGCAGCTGAGTCCTGAATGAATTTCAATTGTAACTAATAAGATTGTGCAAACTACACCAACAAACTTTGCTTTCTAATTCACTTGAAAAATTAAGTTTGGAAACTATTTTTTAGGATAAATGACAAATATTAGGAAGAACTCTTTTTGTTGAATTTTTAGAGATATTGCCTATTAACTGCAAATTCTGATGAAATATTTGGCTAATCCAAGCCTCAGAAACCAAAGTAATTATTTTTAGATTTTTTTTTCGCATGTTGGTTCAGAGATGCTGTATAGGCCAGTAGGGCATGAGGCTGTGCTTCAACCCTTCTGTACCTGCTGAAAAGTCTCTATCTTTAAATCACTTGCTCCAAAACCATTCCATAAATTCATACCTTTAGTAGTATATAGTGAAATGACATAATATGAAATGGAGTGCTCCTTTCTGGGGTACTGTGCTTTGGACAAGAAATAACCCGTAACCTTTTCAGACTGTTACTGCTGATTGTTCCATGGGAGATTAAAGAGTTGGTAAAAGAGATATGATGGTCAATTTGATATGATGGTCAATATTCCTTTTGTCAATGTTGTAATGTGGTTTAATATACATATATATTAAGATATTCATATAATGAGAGGCCTTGCACTCATAGAAGACTCTTTTATTGTGGAAGGGCTCCTTCTGCTCATGAGATGAGTCTTCCAATGGAGGAGACTCCCACTAAAGAATTTCTGTGAGCAGAAGCTCACCTTTGGAATCAACTGAGTATTAATATATCATATTAAATAAACTAAAACTATTCCTATGTATCCAATAGCACCTTAAAGACTAACAAAACTTGTGGTAGGATATGAGCTTTTGAGTTCTGCAGATTTTGACTCACAAAAGCTCGTACCCTACCACAAACTTTGTTAGTCTTTAAGATGCTACTGGACTCCAGCTCTTTTCTACTGCCACAGACAGACTAACACAGCTGCCCATCTTGATCTGTTCCTATGCATATTAATGCCAGTGCCAAAAGTATACAAACTGGAATCCATTTGACTACATAGGCACTAAACTAACATTTATTTTATCTAATTCATGCTAGTAACAGTCTTGCTTCATATTCTTGCACCATATAGCCATGAACTATGAAGAATCTCAGTTTTGCAATGAGAAAGCTTTTTTTCTTCTTTTTTTAATGAAGCATGTGGGTAAATGAGTTCAAACTGATCCTGAAGTTCCAGTGCTTTAGAAAACTGCAATGAGACCCCTTTTATTGCTTTGCTAGGGTATAATGACCATGTGACCAATTCAAAGTACATAAAATCTACATCTTTTCTAAGAAAAACACTGTACATTGAATAAAGGCATGTTTTACTTTCTTTACTCCACGGGGAGTAATTTCTCAGAAAGAGGAAAGCAAATCAATCTGTCACAGAAAACCTTTACTGATACTTCATCTGTCCTCGCAAAAGCAAAATTTAGCTTTGGGACCTCCCTACTTTAAGTTATTAGCCTGTTCTACAATTCAGTTGAGTTCAAGGATTTAATCCAAGACAGACTGATGGACAGCAATACAAGTACTTCTTTTTGACCAGATCAACCAGAAAGATGTCAGGCTTTCCAGCCGTCCTTACATTAAACCAGGAATGGTCATGGGGCAGTCTGTGGCTGAGTCTGGTCCCCAAAGCAAGTGCTTCTGCCTACTGACTTTAAATTAGAGTGTTGTAGACTTCCGGTCTATGGCTTCAGCGATGAATTATAAAAGTTAAAAATATTCTACTTTTCAGGGTTACATGCATGTGGGGGGTGGGGTTTGGTATAGTCTTGCAATGCCTAACTGCATTTGCACCAGAACTTCAAACCCCTTACTATTAGGTGGTAAGACTTTATTGTTGTAAGCCCTGAGAAGGGGTTAGCTTGTGCAATCACAACACTTCCATCTCCTGGGGCCATTGTTTGGTGCTAAGAAGCACCCTAGTTGTCCCTGCATTAAAGAAAATTCACTGTTGATAAATTATAATTCATCCATGACTATGAGCAGTACATTCAGCACTTTTTTCCCTTCTGAATTTTAGAATAATTTCAAGGTGCCCAGTTTGTTCATATGTCAGGGAAATGGTTAGCTGTAATTGTAATATGACCATTTCCCCATTAACTGGTTTATTCACTTTTCTCTCTCTAACAAGGAACAGTTGATCTAATTCCAAATGGAATTTTCCCCTTGGTTATCAGTCATGAATTTGGTCTACAAACCACTTCACACAATCTACCTTTTCATGTGATGATCCTCAAGAATGCATCAACACAGAGAGTTCCTTGTAGAAACAAGATCCTCACAACCACAGCTACCATGCAGAAATTGCCATGAGGAAATCCTACTTCACTCAACACATTCTTGATGTGAATGCATCCTGGGGACACTCAAAGGACCATTATGTTAAGACACCTTGAACAAGTGAAGTGGTCCTACAAGAAAACTTTTTGAGTGGTAGGCAAGGTCAGCATTTGATTGCGTCATTGAATGAAAGGAAAATTGGAAGCAAATGGGGGGTTTGGAGTAGCTGTCACTCAATGCCTCTTTAGAGATAAGTCTCTTATTAGAGATATGATTACCATAATGAAGACAATCACTCCAACCCAAACTCCCACATATGCTCTGATATACACATGAAATTCTTAGGAATGTGAGCTTTCCCAGCTGAAGGATTCCACATATCCCTCTCCATTGAAATGAATGGGAAAATTCTTGAAGATGATGGAGCTCTGGATGTGTGTATTGAGATCTTTACTCTTACAATGATTGGTTGGGATAAAGCATACATCATACATACTGAAGAATGATGAGCAAAATAGGACTTTTGATCACTAGTAACCCAGGATAAAGTAGAAAACTTTCCATCCTAATCAGGTTCATTTATCCTCCATAAGATTTTTTAAATGATAACGATAGAAAATTTCTTTAATATCCCTTGAATTCTGGGTAATAGTACATTGCTAAATAACCACGCAAGTCAACTACATACCTCCATAGTGCTGCATAGACAACTGCTAGGGTAACCAAAGCCAAGCATGAAAGGCCACTGCCTACTATAAGAGTAACTGAGGGTGCACCAGATGATTCCATGATCTGTGGGTCATAACAAAGATTTATCAGATAAAAATCATGTTCCAATAACTAAAGAATGAAACCAAAACAGGGGAGGTGTACATCTGACTTGGAAACAAGCCACCAATTCACAGATACAGCTAACACAGCCTACCTAACCACTTCCAGCTTTAGCCTCAGTTCAAGATACTCATGCCTCTGAGGCCTAGGTACCTATAGCACACCAAGTTAGCATCCTACTGGCTTTGGAGTTTTATTAATTTACTCCACTAATAAACAAACAAACAAATAAACAAACGAAAGAAAATAGGGAAGTTATCCTTTTAATAACAGACCAACATTTACTAACTTTCAAATAATCCCAGTATTTTAAAATATAATTTAAAACAGTTTCCCCCCAGACAGCGAGCACTATAACTTGGTTCATTCTCACAAACTGAGTGCTACTCAGTTTCTTCTCCAAAGCCAAAGCCCACTATCAAACTTTCTGACTTTACAATAAGTTGGCCTTCAAGCCAGTATTCATATTCCCTGTGTTTCCAACCAGATAAGAGAAACAGTAATTTCAGAACAAACTGTATATAGCTTTTGAAAGATTTGGATGTTAAAAAATACAGCAATTCTAAGGATTAATAAGAGATGAAAAATAAATGACCTTGAGGCAAAAAAATGCTTCCTTCAAACACAAGCCCTCTTGCCAGGCTTTTGGTGGTAAAATATACATGGCATTGCTAATGCTAATAAAAAATTAGACCTAGAAGTTTGCAGTGATTTCAGTAGGACACCACTTGATTTAGCACTATGCTACTGAAAAGCTTCACAGCTCCACTTTAAATTATATTTTATCAAGACATGATTTGTCATCCAGGCAAGACAAAACATATCCTACCCTGTTTTTCATGTTTATTGCAGCCAAACCTTTCTTATTTACTACTAAAAGAATCTCTGGCAATATACTTAAAATACTTTCAAATCCCAATCTAGAGATACTTTCCATTTTGTTTCTCACTAGCTGTCAACAGACAGCACAGAGTCCCTGTGCTGAATATGCTCAATGCAGAACTGCAGTCTTTTTAACTAGAGTAGCTAGGTTTCTCCATCTAATAGCAACAATGAAAAACCTTGCACATTCCCCTTAAAGGGGGGAGGGGTACTAAAGGAATAATGATTAAGTAGGAAATTCTTTCAGCATATTACAGTTGCTAAGTTTTCATTGTGAAAACAGGAGCTGATAAACCATGGAATTAATTATATATCTAAAAATCTGTAATTCATTCCCATGAGCTAGGAGCCACTGACAGAGATGATAGAACAGCCAGTCATTTCTCAACCTGCAAGGTTTATACATTTCCTTCCTCAAGGCATACATCTGAAATATTTCTGGGGTTAATGATGTACACATAAAAATTCTTCTAGCTTTTGCATTAGACTCAGACACCTCCCCCCCATCACTTACTATTTCTCTAGGTTGCTGAGCCAAAATGGCGAAGGTGGAGAGACGATCACATAAGCATTTTGTATGGGATGCATCGGTAAGCACAGTTTTACATCCCTGGGTGGACCAGGTTCCCAAAGAGTCGTTCCTGCAAGAGGAGAGAGAAAGAGAGAGAAAGGGGGGGAGAGAGAGAACGGGAGGAAGGGAGAGGGGAGATGGGGGGGAGAAAGAGAGAGACAGAGAGACGAGAAAGAGAAAATCGGGATAATTACGGCTGATGGTCAATTCCGTGAAGAGAAAATGCAGTTTAATTGAGAGCAGAGTCTAATGTGGTTCCCGGACAGAAGAGATCTACTTGTTGTTGAATAGGACTTAATTTAGATGCATCTCCAGCTGTACAGTAATGCAGCGGGGGAGGTGGGGGAAGAGGCGGCGAGGGAGGGGGGAAGGCAGCTCTACTGCGCGGTGAGCTGTCCAGAACTCTTGGTGCTGAAATCGCGACCAGCTCTCCGCCAGAGACAGAAACGGAAGCTTCGAGCGCTGCCCGCCGTTTCCTAACTGCTCAGGTCACCACCGCAAAAATTAATCGCAGGGGGAATAAAACAAAAGAGCCTTGTGGCTCCCCCCCCCCCGCCCCCCCCCCGCTCTCATAGCAGCTCTGCTTGGGTCTCGCTCCACGTTTTGTGAGGCCGTTACCTCTCTCTCTGTCTCTTGCTACCAGAGTGTGTGTGCGTGTGTGCGGGGGGGGGCGGGCGGGTGCGCGCGCGCGCGTTTAATTTAAATGCAGATGGCTCCGAAGTCTTTGTCTGATTAACACAGGTCGTCGTCCGCCCCCCCCCTCCACCCCGGTCTGCTGGCGATTTTTTTTAATGTTGTTGCTGGAGATATTTTGTTCCTCTTGTTGGTTTTAACGTTCAGCCTTGCGGATTTCACCCTGGAAACGGACAGCCGCCGACTATACCTACTCCAGCGCTCGCTCGCTCTCTTTATCTGTCATTCTCTCTTTCTCTCTCCCTCCGCTCAGCTCCAGCAGAGAGGTGGATTTCAGCACGGCACTACATCGCCAAAGAGACACAAGTTCGCCCTCCAGACATCACTCTGTCCAACTCACCCTTTCTTCCTCCTTCCCCTTCATTTTGGTAGTGGGGAAAGGTGTGTGTGTGTGTGTGTGCTGGGGGAGGGGGACAGACGGGAAGGGATCATTTGCCGGGGCTTTTCCATCACCAGCCCTTTCGTGAAAAAGCCTGGTTTGATTAGCCATTTGAAAGTACAAAAGCTCGTTCTCAAATTCTCCCCAGCAGAACAATAAAATGGTATGAACCCACGTTTTCTTTGTGCAAAGAAAAAGAGCAAAGGGGAGGGGGGGGGAAGAATAATCTTTCGTTTGATATGAACCAAGTGTGTGTGGGGGATGTTTCAAAGGAGAATCGCTCAGTTTCATCTAAATCAAGATTGTTATCACATATGTTGTGTTGCGAGTATTAGAATCAGATCTTTTATTTTCTCCCCCACCACGGCGTCGCACAGGCCCTCCCTACCTCCACCCCCCCACACACACACACCGCTTCATACTCATGTGTAGCCAAAGAAATCTATGCATCGAGATGGCAGGAACTCTGCCTCCCGCAACGCCACACACTGTCAATTTCACCCTAGGGCATTTTAAAGACTTTAAAGTCAGGGGAAAGATCACGGGAGGAGGGAGGGGAAAATAGTTTCACCTTCAAACACTGTACACTCTGAATCACCTACTCGATTTAGGATTCGTTTAACTGTATGAAGGGACTTTTTTTTGCACCGACCATAGCTTCAAAGTGCAAATCATGCTGCCCCACCTTGGATATATCCTGCACCCTATTCTCCCAATGCTCTGTAAGCTCAACATTTGCCATAACAGAGGTCTTCAAAGCCCTTTCATAGACAAAACAGAAAACTCCTGGGTGAAAAAAGGCCCCCAAAGCTATGATATATTTTTTTTTAAAAAAACCCTCCTTCAGTAGAGCCCAAAGTCTCTCTCTTTCACTCACTGGCGGGAGCGCGCGCACACACACTTCCTTTACATGAGAAAAAAAGATCAGAAATGTACCTGCTACTGATTAACCTCACAAATTTATTTGATTAGTTCTCCTGAATCTTGTCTTATTGTGACACACGGCTCAAGCCAAATGAAATACATTTATCAGAAGTGATTAAATATTAAAGAGGGTAGCTCAAAGGAAGCTGATGGGGCTTAACACAGAAAGGCTCTGTTATGCATTCTGAGACACACTTAATGCGCTCAGGGGTTGACTGGCCATGGGAATGACTGGGCAGCTGCTGGATGGGTGGGTTGTCTGAAAGCTGTCATTTCCAGGACATAATTAGTGCAGCTGGGATGGATTACATGATTGCTGCCATACAGAAGCACAAGCCTTCTTTTGCTCCTCAACTGCACCACAGGCATGCGAGTCCTGGGTGTGCAGTGCATTACAGGCAGCAGGGCAGCAGGAAGTGGATAATGGAAGCAAGCTGTTTTTGCTTCCTACCTGCAAAGAAAATGTAACCTGTTCTGCAAACCAGCTTGCAAATCAGTCAGACTTAACTAAGGGAATGCCATTAACCATAACACAAAGAACTCCTTTCAGCACATATGACATCTTTCTCTGCCTCTGCCATGATGCAGTGGAGACCCTTTCTGCCATTCCCCTAAGTTTTGGAGATGGCTTGTCTGATGGCACAGAGTCACTTCAGAAAACGGAAGGTCAAGAAATCATTCTGCCTGCATTAAATTTACCATGCAGGTTTTTGGATAAAAGCCTCTGGTTTCAACCGAGTGAAGGGCCTAATAAGTTCTTTTTGTGGCTTGGCAAAGTCACACTCTGTGGATGGAAATCTCATTTGTCTCCAGAACTGGCTCTGGGGGATCCAACTCTTTCTCTCATTGACAGTATGTACAAGTATCAGATCACATAGGTTGCCTGGACCTTGAAGTTCTTTCCCACTAGAGGCCTGAACGAAGGTATGGCATTAGCCCAACCCTATGTTAGATTTCTGATGGAACATAAAAGACAACAACAAGGAAGCAGCTTTACATTGACAGCCACATTGCAATGGTAACATACAAACTGGGCCCCAATCATCTTAAATAATATGCTCTTGCCACTTGCTATTTATTTATGAAGAGGGTACATGCCAGATATTGGCCTGGATTTCCTGGTAATTTCTGCTGGCAGAATGGGTTTCCATTAGCAGAGTGACTTCCTTCCCTTCCTGTTCCTGCTGCAAAAGCTGCTCCTGGGGGGCATTGGACCCCCCCCGTTCAGCTTGCAGGGAGAGTTAGAGGTTTGCAGCAGGAGGAGGGAGTAGGGGAAAATCTCTTTATAGAGCGCCTTCAATGGATCCAAGCCATAGATGAGATGCTGTTCTGGCCCACAGGATTGACAAATGCAATGAAATGTTAATTATTTATATAGCATTTCCATATATGTATATATTCCACATATATAGGCAAGATAACCCAATATAAAAACAAGCATTATCCTGATATTACAAAGTAGGGGGAAGAGGGGAGAGACTGAGAATCTACTTGTTATATTAGTGGATGAACCACCAGCTGCGTGGCAAATGTTTCAGCCCTTCATCACTGCATTTCAGTTAACCACACAGCCTGGAGCCCAAAGTCCAGGGTTCCCAGGTTATCTTAACAAGTATGCATTCAACTAAATTGTAATATAGATTTCCAAACTGTTGCCTCAACAGAGATCAACAACACAGAAGTGAACAAACAGACTAGAAGCTATCCAGAATTTAAATGGTGCAAATCAGGAGACCTTCCTTCCACTGGTATGCCTGGGTTTTTTCTATTGCAATGTTATTAAATGAGCCAATCATATTAGTTTTGCATGAGTGCTATTATGCACCTAGAACTGATAGTGCACTGTGAAAGTCCTATCAAATGAACAGGGGATGCCCAGCAGCAGCTTTGGGAAGATTGTACATGCTGTTGTTTCCTGACTGTAGAGTCCTAACACATTCTTGATAAGATCTTTATCTCTTAAAGAATAGCAATGAAAATGACTGTGCTTTTAGTCCACGGTTTCATTCTACACACAGGCAAATTGTGCTGACTGGAAGCATCCAGCACAGCTAAAATATTAAAACAACAACAGAAAAACAAACGAACAATGGATCCAACCTATCCATGTATCAGTGGAAGGGATTTCTCAACATGCTCTCTCTCTCTTTTTCTCTCTATATGTTCCCTAACCCCTCCTCCAATTGCAGCCCCTTTGTCGCCCATGAAATCCACTCAGAAACAGCTTATTTTGAGAGAGGCTGTTTTGAGTTGGCCATGAAAGGAAACAACTTTGTTCTGTTTTGGATGTAAGCCAAGTCTATGAAAAGTGTGTGTGTGTGGGGGGGGACAGATATCCATGACATCCCCTTTATTTTGAGGTCACAAGCATGACATTGTTAAAAAAGAACACACACACACAAAAAAAACCTGCCCTGAATATCTTACTGGACAGTCTTTCCTTGCTTGCCTTTTGGGAATGTCTGATGTCAAGACTGACCCAGACTGGCATGGAGGGAACATACTGTCAACCATTCATCTTTCATAAATATTATTGTGAGTTCAGTGCTTAATCACTCTGAGCAGTTTGTCCTAAAGGGACGGGAAACTGGACCTATGGCAGAACACTATTAAGGGCTGGAGATGTTTACTCCAAGAAGGCTAGGATGCTCCCTCTTGGCTCTGTTCAAAAACCCATAAGGGCTTGAGGAAGATGACACCTGAGGAATGTGTGTGTGCCTGCTTTTGTATGAAGACACAGCAATTGTGAGTTGAAAAAGAGACAGTCTGACAGATGGCCAAAGCACCACTGGGATGTGGGATCTCTCTTTCCAAGGATCTGATGAGGGGTTACTCTGTAGGGAGTCTCTCTGACTCAGGTTCAAATCCTCACTCTGCCATGGAGGCTCTGTGGGTAATTTTGGGCTAATTACATTATCTCAGCTTAACCTACCTCATATATCAAGATGGGTAGCCATGTTAGTCTGTCTGTAGCAGTAGAAAAGAGCAAGAGTCCAGTAGCGCCTTAAAGACTAACAACATTTGTGGCAGGGTATAAACTTTCACGAGTCACTGCTCACTTCTTCAGATATTTG